TGCCGGCTTCTGGTCCTGGAACCCATCCTCATTGCTGCAACCCATCCTGTGCCAATGCTGGCTCGGCATGGGGCCATCTCTTGAGGTCCCATCTAGCCTAAAATACCCTGTGATTCTGTCCATTTGATATACAACTCTGTGTAAGACTTTCTCTCTCCATTGTCAAGTTGTATTTAGCTTAATTACAACCCTAGGCATTTTGGGATACTTGTTTTAAGCCAACATTTTAATTTGGATGGCATATGATTTTTTTTTTCAGACTCATTGGAGCTACTTTCTGAGTACAGTTTTGAGGTACTTAATGTTCTTGGCAATTTTCTGTTTATTTGTATACTTAGCATTCCTATTGTAGTACTTCTCCTTGAGATGTCTTTTAAGTATTTTCAAGCACTTAATTCTGTTCAAATAATCTTTCTTAAATATTTTGCCCCATATGGAAATTCACATTCTAACAACATGTTAATTAAATTCATATTGAATAGTAGAATAGATTTATAATAAGTCCAATGTGTGGAAAACATTCATGCTAGACCTTGGCTGCATTTGAAATGGGCATTGGTTTGGAGGCTTTTTACACTGGGAGCTTCCATCCATTCAGGTAAGAAAGATTTAGCAGCTGCAGATTACAGTTTCTTGTATCAAAGTAAATTCAGAAAACTAGAATTTCTCAAGGTGTCTCCTTTAACTGCTTAAATAATTTTTCCCTTAAGCCCTCCTATCTGGGAAATCTCTTTATTTCACATGAAGCTGGGGTTGTGAATAAATTGGACCTTACCTCGCTGTTGGGTAGATTTATCCTAAATTCATCCTGCCTGCCAGTCAGATCACCGCAATGTAAAAAACTGAGTTTACATTACAAAACTGTAATTCTCTCAAGTACACAGTCTTTTTACATTACAGTCAACATGGGGTTAATGATCTCTTGGCTGATTCAGAGTCGCAGGTGATAAGCACATGTTGAAAGCAGAGGCGTCTTGTTTGCTAACACGTTTATTGAAGAGTAGACTCAGTGTGACATAGGCGGAAAAACGTGAAAGTGAGTGTGGAAGACAAGTCTGTCCTGATCTGTAGGTTCCAAAACACTTTCTATTTTATGTCTGCTGTGTTATTACATTTGGATGCGAGCAGTAAATCCTGAGGTTTTTTTGCTTTCTAATCTGTTCTGTTTTGGTGGGGGCCTTGGAGGGGGAGGGCTTTATCTGGGGTTTTCTTTCTTTTTGATTTGTGTTTCTCTTTGGTAAACACAGTTGACAAGAACTTTTGGCCTTTTTCTTTTTTTGTTATTGTTTGCATAGATCACAAAGGAAATAATTGAAAAGGTTCTGCTATTGTATTTTGGGAATGATGATCTTGCCAAAGTTATTAAAGTTGGGTTAGGTTGTTGCACTATGTTCTACAGAAGGCTAACCCTTGAAACCTAACTGAAAACTGGATGAAGAGCCGACGGTTATTTTTTTTGTCAGGACACAGCATCAGTGGTCTGTGATATGCACTAAGTAGCAGCTGATTTCTGGATGAAATTAGAGATGGTATTTTGATTTAGCAAGCCCTGTGTTACTGGGATGCTCTTTTCCCAAAAAGATTTCCTCTTCACCTCTTCTAATAAGTACTAGAGTTGTGATAATCCAAAGTTTATTTATTACCAGCTTTCATTTCCATTGCATAAATGGAAAGGGGTGGCAGGATGTTATATCTGGGGAGGATGGGTCTAGGGGTATTTTAGTGTGCTTCCCACTGTGGTTCACAAGAGCCTGCATGTGATGACTCTGCAAGGCCAGTTTCCAAAATCCTGCTCTAAGTGGTGCTCAAGTGGCACTGTTTCTGGGAGAGGGGTGGGAGCGGAAAGCCAGCAAGGCCATCTTGGATTCATTTTGCTTGGTGAAGGTCTGCGTTAACAGATTTATAATCCCCTTTCAATATAATGAGCTTGTGTTCAGGAAGGCAATGGAGGTCTAAGTCAAATATGAAATGCAGGGGCATTATGGGCGGGCGTGAGGGGTGGCATTACGCCCCTGCCAGTGTGTGACCCCTTTAACTGGGCCATGGATCCCGTGTGTGCTCACAGGGGACAAGAAGTCTCATTGCTTCTGCCTGCAGCCTCCCTCTGAAAAACTGGCCCTTGTTCAGTGACTGAGGATGGACAGAACCCGGGGGACAGACTCCCCGCAAACAGCATGGCAAAATATCTCTGAGTTTACGGCATTTTCCTTGTTAGCATTTATGCATCTTTTATTCTTTGGATTGTACATTTTTCATGAGTTTTCTTATCTTTTCTAGATAGAAAATAATTTTATTGTTGTTTCAGTCTGTTTTTCAGTCATTTTTTATTATTCTTAAATATCATTTTAATAAAAATGTGTTTGTGAGCCTAGTCTTGTTCTGAGTGAAGATAAGTATTCTGAAAAGATGGAAATTTAAATTATCTGGACTGAATGATAACTGATACTTTTTGGAATTTCTTTATTCTATTTTGGTTTTACCTATTATTTGGAGTGTTTTCTTTTGTATCCAGCTAGAAAACTAGGAATGCTTTAGCAAGTCTGTGTGTGTGTTTGCGGTGTTGGAAAACTGCTACACACCTGCAAAAATACGTAATTGTTTTGGAACCTGACATTTTCTTCTTTTTATTGTTTTTAATGTGCCTTTGTTAAAAGGTAAAATGTTATGAATTAATTTATTTTTATTTCTTGTTGATATCAAAAGAATTTTATGAACCTTGTCTTGTATAACATGCATATTTATAGCAGTTTTGAAAAAAAATCCAAAATTATGAATATCTATCAGGTTGTCACGTACACCTAACAGACTAGTCTATTGCTGTTAAAATTATATTGACAGTTATTTGTTTGCTTGCTGATTTAATTTAAGTATTTAAAACATTCTTTTGGTTATATGCACCTAAAAGTATGGTTTTTTAAAAAGCCACATTGTGGTTAATTTAAAGTTATACTGAGACGATGGATTAGGTAATCTAGCTGAAGGTGGGAGATAATGGGATGGAGAAGATAAAAACCAACAGCTTTCATCAGTGCTCAGTAGAAGAAAAAGAAGTCAATTAAACGAGGCACTGAAATAAAGCAAACTCAAAGCAAGATTCAGGACCTGGAGAAGAATAAAAAACCTACCTAGTTTTGGTGGGTTGGAAAATGTAGTTACGTGAACCATGTCTGTGTTGTATCCATAACAATTTATTCATTACATTGTTTTCACCTTTTCACATTTTAACATCTGAAATATGCAAGGTTGGTTTTATTTTCCCCTGCCTATTTTGTTAAACTTGTGTTGTCAGAATTGTGATGTTCTCCAGTTTTCTTGTCTCACTAAAAGGCCAGAGTTCTGCCTTGTCAGCACTACACCATTTGCAATTTCTTCTGCCTTGCACAAGTCCCAAGGAAACAAAAAATATTTAAATAATTGTTTAAAATTAGCTGGTATATAAGGCTTGGTAAAGAACTTTGGATTTAAAAAATACAGTTTTCATGAATGATGCCAGAAGCAGTTTCTGCTAACTAACATGGCAAAGCCTCATGTTCCTCTAATAACTGATATTCATTCAAAGCTGTTCAATAAATATATATTGTATTTGGGGACAGAAATTTTATACAAAAAGTTTCAAGAGGATGGCTGGCAGCAGGCGTGAGAGCGTCCAGGTGGCTTTGGCTGGTAGAAAGCTTTTGGGTGTTGAGATGGACTGCAGCAGAAGATGTCAGGGAACTTTGGCTAGATGAAAGAAGACACTTGGGCATACGTAGAGTAGTCAGAAAGCTGCTGGGGAGTATTGGTTTGAAGCAGGAAGGTGATGTTGGTGCCAGATGTTCATCAAAACAAAGGAAGTTTTGCTGTGCTGAAGAAGGGAATACGGCAAAATCAGGTATGCAGGAAGAAAGCAAAAAGAAAGACCCCCCCAGTTCTCCTATGTTCAAAACCAGGATATGTTTGTTTGAGAAAATGTTGGGACTCTGGGGAGGTAAGAGCCACCTGTTTACTGACCAGCAATTAAAACATGCATGCTAAGTGGATAATTACTGTAAAGCGTAGGATTCTTCATACTTTAGCTTGTCTGATGCTGTCACGCTCAACTATATTTGTCTCCTGGACAATTTGTAGTGCAGATTCTTACCAGAAAGCATGTTTTGCAAGAGCTGTTTGCCTTCCAGGAGCAGTCTCAGAGTTCATTGCTGGTTCCCTTGGTAATTTCACATCCTCTCATCTTTTTGAATATTGTTTACCATGCCTGCAGCAGCTACCCTTAGTAACCTCCTACCAGATTCACTAGACGTGAATTCACTGCCATTTACCCCATAGATTTGTTCAGTTTCCATTCAGCAGCATACTCCACATATGGGTCATGTACATGTCTAGTATCTCTAGTACATGTCTAGTAACTTACACGTTACTAGAACAAAAATTCTTCAGCAACAAGTTTTAATACCTTCTGACTTTTCTTGTTTTGCTAAAACCACCTCTTAATTTTTGTGAAAGTGCTATTGTAATGAGAATAGGCACTGTTTTATGCGGTGTTGTATCTTTGACAATGTAAGGAAAGTTTGCATCTCTAATTGGGCATTAATACTGGTTAATAATTTAAGTGACTTGCAAACTTGCATGCAAATATTGTGATTTTTACCTCAGATTCTCAAACTACCTACTGATACTGCAATCATGCTGAACCCTTTGGACAGGAGCAGGTACATAAAAAGAAAATGTTGATTTTTTTTTTTTTTTTTTATATTCCTTTGTAATGTCTTGAAAAATGGACTAATTTATCAAATAGCTTTTTTAGTTTTCAGGGTACATCAGATTGATTTGTGATAAATTCCTCTGTATCTTACTGGCTGTACACCTTTCTAGCTAGAACAGGACAGAGGGTCATAAAAGATTTTTTTTTTTTGTCCCTCTGGCATTTCAAAACTAGATCTGCTCTTCTTTCTTCCTGTCTGCTAGAGTGGATGAGACTTAACCTTGCTGAAAGAATTATGCTTGTTTTTTGCTATTAACAGGCCAAGCTCTGATAACAGGCGCCACAGCATCCGGGAGAGGATGTCCAGCACCAACGAGAAAGGGAGCCTGTCCATGGAGTCCACCAAGGAGACCCGGTACTGCGCTGTCTGCAACGACTACGCTTCAGGCTACCATTATGGGGTCTGGTCTTGTGAGGGCTGCAAAGCTTTTTTCAAAAGGAGTATTCAAGGTAATAAACTGTTCCAGTGAATCACCTTTACTCTCTACTCTTGAGGAAACTGTGAAGCTACTTGAGATGGCAGCCTGAGCCCAGGACAATGACATTTATTGGGATTTCATTAGCAGCTGCTGTGCTCTCCCGTGTATTTTTAGCTCTGTATTTGGTGAATGCTTCTAGCAGGTATATAATACGTTGTTATTTAGTCCAAGATTAATGAGGGAAAGAAAAGCTTCTCTATGTTCTCCTTGGTTTAGGTATGGCTGACCGTGGAGGGGCTATGTATATATTTTTTCTGTGATTAAGTTCTTATCCAAAACAAGGGGTTTTTTGAGAATTCCCTGTCAGATGAAGATTAATTCATGTTGATCGATTTATTAATCTTAATTTAATGCTCTGTTAGTGAGATGGTTCAATACAAATCTCAATTCTTTGCAGATGTGAGATGTCTTTTGAGAACTAATATTGAAGAGGAATGTTTCCTTGATGAAATAGCATTTGTATCTGTCAGCAAAACAGAACTTTGAACTACACACAGAACGGTTTGGTTCACAGCCTTCTCATGGCTAGAAGTATGCTGTGCAAGGTGTCCAGTGGAGTAAAGAGCATCTAGCAGATATTGTGTTAATTACTGTGACTGAGGTAATTCTTGATTCAAATGCCTGTCGCTCTGTAGGATGGTTACTTTTTTGCTTTGGTCAACGTCTCCTAAACTGGGTAAGAAGTATGATTCTACTCAAAATATGGGTACCGTTGAGTATCTAAGTCTTATTTTGGAGAAGAAAACAAACCAGATTTCTTCCTTTCCAAACAGTAAAACTAGCAAAGCACCATGCTTAAGTTAGGTTTCTATAGTTTTTAAATCTCCAGGTGATATATAGACTCAAAAAGTCCTGTTGCTCCTTTTCTGAAATAAACATAGTGAGGAACAGTTTTTCCCTCATATCACAAGGTGTGATTATTGCCTGTTTTGCTGCATGGTAGTCATGGTAACTCACTGAGGTGAGTTAAATAAGACTTCCAGCATTCAGCTCAGAATTTTCCCCGCCTTAAAGAAAAAAGTGAAAGATTGGCTGCGGGGTAGACATTGATGAAATGATTTGAATGTCAGCTATTAGTTAATAGTTGTATTTCTGCTTTTCCAGACTGATCAAAATGACTGTTAGAAAAGAGAGTGGTTACAGCCAGAGGTCACTAATAAGCAGCGTTGGAAGGAGAAAGGGTGAAATGCTTTTCTCTTAATATCAGAATGATTTACTTAAACTTGTGATGTAGGGAGAACAGCTCCATTATTGAGTGGGTTTTGTTATTTTAAATTTTGAGTTCCCCATACCAAATCACAATTATTTTTAGAATTTTGAAATTCTGTCCTTGTACTCCAGCTGAACTAAGCCAGCAACAAAGTGAAAATGAACATTTTCTTCAGCAAAAGTAGGAGCTCATTATCAATTAATTATACAACATAGATCTTCAGCTTTTGGCCATTATGGAAGAAGAAATGAATCTGACTGCTTCATTGAGTTCCATGGTTCTATGTCACCACTTGGGTGGTATTGCCCTGTTCTCCATGTGGACAAATGTTGTGGTCCTCCACGATGGATCTGTTATCTATTTGTGCTACAGTACATGTTAATTAGTAAAGTCAGCTCTTGCTACATTTATATACTTAACATAATTTTTAAGTGGGTAAGCTTTAAATTTTTAAAGCTTAAGTTTTCAGTGTCCTGCAAAACGTCTTTCTTGATCTTTAAGTCACATCTGCTCTAATTTAAGCCCCTTGCTTCTTGCTCTATCCCTTGTGGGCATGAAGAAGGCTTATTACAACAACCTTTTACATAGTTGAAGACTGTTATCATATCTTTCCTCAGTCTTCTCTTTTTTAGACTAAACAAACCCATTTCTTTCAGTAGAACATGCTTTTTAGACTTCTGATCCCATTTGCTAAACTCGTCTACTTTCTCCAGTTGATCCACCTCTTTTGTGGTTAACAGCTATTGGAAAAAATGACACCCATGAATTTCAAGACAGTAAATCAAGAATGTGAGTGCTTATGAGAGAATTGTGATCACTTGATCACAGATGGTATGAAAAGTCCTCTAAAAGACTTTTAAAGTCATAGGCACCCAGTCTTGATGAACTAAGGGATTTTTTTGAATTTCCTACTGGAACCAGAAGAGATCTTTACCTCAGCAATTACTTGTTCTCATTGGACATGTGTCCAATTTATGAAAATGACAGTCATTTTTAGATTGAGAAAACATGAGAAAACATGCCATTTACAATGCAGATGGTAATAATTTTAAACAGGTTGTGATCAGATATCTAGGAATGAATACTACTAATGTGTAGGTGTATCTGCAGAAGAATATGTGGATTAATATTATTATATCTGCATTGCATAATATATGCATTCCTAAAAATGGGACAAAAATTTCCTGGGAATCATATGATTAAACTGTACTGAGGCGCACAGGACCTGTTTGTATAAACAAAACACAGAATGCTTTCAGCAAAGATTTTTGTTGCTGTTTGTAGTGTGTCTTTCTGTAAATGCAAGATAACCATGTTACTTTTGTGCTTTGCTGTCCTGTATTTCTCAATACATATATAGATGCAGAGATGATTTTTCATTTTTATACTTCTCATCAGAGATTTCATAGGAGAATTGCTATAGTGAAGCTTGATGTTCTTAATAGACTGTAGTCAAACATTCTATGTGGTTCTTAATAGAACCAGAGGAAAAAGTGAGTACAGACATGAACAGTAAACAAGCTGTATGGGCAATCCATTTCCTCCCCGTGTATCTGTTATTCTCAGTGATATCTAAGGTGTAAGTACTTGCGTAAGTATATACTTAAATTTCCTAAAACTCACGTCTGTATTGGACCTCACCTGAGGTGGAGATGGATAGCTTCATTTTTATCCAGGTGAGCTGGAATGGTCCTGGAAGAATTTTGTAGATTTTAAATGCGAAGTTGTTTTTCTTTGCTGTCAAACAGTTAAAGCTTAAAAGGCAACCTGAATTAGTAACTGTCTCTCAATATGTGTAACTGCTCAACTTTGTTTAAAAAACGGATGGTTGGGGGAGAATCTCAGCTGCCTCCTGAAACTGCCCGTGTCAGTCTCTTTTGTTAGTTTATGTCCCAAAAGTGATTTGGGACCTTGTTTTGAGAAAACTCTGTGCAGACTGATGTTAATGTATAATGTTTCATGGGAGAGAAAAATCATGACACCAAGAACACTGTGTTGCTTGGTGATAGAAGAGTGCTTTATACTTTGCCCAGCATATGTAGCCTTCAGGAGCGTACTTGGTCAACTGACTTGAATCCAGAAGCATAACAAGCAGTCACATCACAGCACACTGTACTTCTTTCCTAAAATATTTATGGATTTTAAGATCAAGAAGGTCCATTAGGTCATTAAGTCTGGTATATAAACTTTATATGCTTTATATGTGTACAAAGCCCCATAACCTGATGGAGGTAAATCTTTTAGAAGATCCCCAGCCTTGATCTGTGGGCTCAAGAGCTTTCCTACAATGATTGCTTAATCTAATAATTTGTTCTTCCATCTGCTAAAAAATTACCTTTTTAATTTTAATTACTTTGGCTTTTACATCACATCCATGAACCAGACTCAGTATCTAGTATCTCCCTCCCGTGGGAAGTTCTTATAACTTAAGTTGCTACAATCAAATCACCTTGATATCTTAAGCAAACTAAAATATTTCAATCTCCTGCTGTATATCTTTCTGTCTTCTGAGTCCTTTGTCTTTGCACCTTTTCTGATCCCCCCACATCCATAATAGCCTCTTTAAAATTTGGATGTCAGAACTGGATGAAGTATTTCAACATCAGCCTTACAAATGCCATTTACAAATTAAAAATCCCCTTGTGACTCACACATTCTTTCCCCTCCTTCTAATTCTCTTGGTTTTTGGAAAGTCAACAAAGGGTAAGGGCCAGGAAGGAATTACTCTTACCATCTCTGACAAGCATCCAACAAATGCCTACATATGTGAGGCTGAGAACCCCCAGTGGGAGCACAAGGGATTTAGAACAAATGAGAGGTAACTCCTTACAATGGAAGGTATCTTGCTAAAGTATTTTAGAAATCCCCATTTCTATTTCCCTGCCTCCTTCATATGCCCTTCTGATGTTTTTCAGATGCACCTTCTCTACCTTTCCTCACAGCTGTATACCCAGGCAAAAATCTGGGATATTTCACAAATATTCAGGAATTACTGCATGATGGGAGGCAGTGCTAGTCCAACAAGAGCAGGCTGGCATCTGAGAATGGATGAATAGCTGTGCTGAGGGATTCCAGAGGCCTGCCATTAGTATCTTGATCACAGAGGTGTAGTGGTCTCCGAAGTGCAGGAATTATTGAAGCTGGGAAATATTTTAGTCGTGTGGCTTGAACATGGATTTTATTCAACAGTTATGCCTTCTGACCACCAAGTAGGAGAGTTTTGGCAGTAGACTGAGTGTTATCAATTGTTTTAACTTCACAGTGATAGAGCTGTACTTTGTTGAAAATATGTAGTTCAAATTTGAATGCCAGGAGTGGTGCTAATATATACATATTTTCATCCGAGTTGGAGAGAATTTCACTGTTAAAACATGCCTAATAAGTGGGTGTTTAGGTAATGCTGCAGTGCAGCTATTGCATTATTGTCAATTTGGGAGGTTTCTGAGATCTTCCCTTTAACTTTCCATTATTGTCTTCTGCTTTCACAGTATTTTTGTAATCTGTTTGATAACAGCTGCAAATGCTGCACAGATCCTGCAGCCAAGAAGACAGAAACTCCCTAATAAGACTGCTTGTACACTGATTCAATGGGTTGTCAGCAGAAAGAGCAAAACTACAAAACATGAACCTAAGTGAGACTAGCAGAGGTAATCACAGGCAATAAACATGGGGCTGCAGGTATCTGGTCTCAGGGTGGAAAACACACAGTTCCGGTTTGAGAGGTAGGTGACTGTTGGAAGTTGGAAGACTGGAAAATGTGT